CTTAATGTTCAGGAGCAAGCAGACAGAGGTGATCCAGAAACTCTTTGCTGTTCTATTGTGCTTGCTGGTGCAGCAGATTCAGTAGATAGTGGGGAATATTTTAACCCTATTAGTATTTGGATGTTTAGCTACAGTGCTCTTAGATCTGTCTAAAAACACACTGAAAGGATACTGGAGGATGAAGAGACAAGAAAAAGGAAAACGAGACAGAGAAAAACAAAAAGAGAAAAAAAGACAAAAAAATTTAAAAAATTAAAAATTTGTAATTACGGTTCTTTTTTTAAAAAAAAATCACAAAATAGAAAACCGCGTGGGGGGGAAAGCGCGCCGGGAAACACTGAAAGGATACTGGAGGGTGAAGAGACAAGAAAAAGGAAAATGAGACAGAGAAAAACAACAAAAAGAGAAAAAAAGACAAAAAAATTTAAAAAATTAAGAATTTGTAATTACGGTTCTTTTTTAAAAAAAAAATCACAAAATAGAAAACCGCGCAGTGCGCTTGCGTGCCGCGCGAAAAATCTAGTTCACAGTAGCCATGTGGAACCTTGTCCTGAAGGCCCGTGGCTTCTTCTGCCCGGATGGGAGGAGCAGAGCGAAAATTAACAAGAAAGAAGGCGGAGCTAAGAGCCAGAGAAAAACTGGGCCTTGTTTTTTTTTTTTTTTTTTTAAAAAAAAAGAAGGGTAAAAAGGAAATATTACCAAAAAAAAAGTGGTGGTATTAATTTGGAAAAAAAAAGAAAAAAATATTAGCTTTCTAAGAGCAAAGATCAGATTCAGGTTTTCTTTTATAAGTTTATTTATTTATTTCTTCCATGACTCAGAGGCAGAGACAACATTCCCAATAGTCTTGACACCACCACAATTAACTCCTAGCTTCATCTAGCACAGGATCAGGGAGCAATATGTACTTGGAGTATTCAAGGAGTATAACTTGGAATATTCTCTGGGCAAGAGCCTCCCCTTTAGGGCAGCCTCACAGAGCATCATATTCTACTGATGCCCCACCATCTGGCCACGAGATTCTGGTGTTCTTGATTTTTTTTTTTCCTTTTTGGAGAGGTTTTTGCTATAGGGCGCGTGCGCTCGCCAGACAGACAGAAACAGAGAGATAGAAAGTGAGAAAATTAGATAGTATGTCTAATTTTGACATTGTCAATCTGTTAACCAAGATTGGTATTGGGATCATTGCTGAAAGAGGCTTTAAGGATATTGTATCACCAATACTCAAATGTTGTTGTGGGTTTTATTCAGGGCAGATGACACAATAACCTAGTAGTCAACTAATTTAGGATCATGGAGAAAAATAGGTTGATTAAGGCTTAAGTCAGATAAATTATACTATAGGTGGACATGGCTGGGTTGGATAAGGTTTCTTTGTTTTCAACAGAGCAGACTTTTTCTAAGATTAGAATCAACAGTACTGGTAGAAGCAGGAAACTTAGAGCCAGGCCATTAAGTGTAAGCTCAAGGTAGAACTGCTTCTGTGTCACAGCTGTAAGGACAGGAACGTACCCACTTTTGTTAAGTACTGCTTTTACATAGTTATATTAGCAAGTTGTATCAATAGACAAAAGAGAGAATAGGAATACATACACCATACACGCAGTTCCACCATCAGTAAAAAAGCCATACTAGTCTTTAAAACTCTCAATAGACACTCATGACACAAAATAGTTCACTTTGATGCACTTCTAAACCCTTATCTCTTTAATTTTTAAGTGCATTTGAACACTTAATATGTGCTCAGCAGAAGAGAACAAGAGAAGTCTAATGTAGAATCACTGTTCTTTTCTTCTCCTTGAAGTCAATTAGAGAGAAAGAGAGAGAGAGAGAGAGAGTGTGTGTGTGTGTGTGTGGGTATGTGTGTGCTACACATGTATGAATGTAATGTTCAGCATAAGATAATAACCCTTGGGGTTTAAAAACATGTTTTACTATGAAGTACAGCATACTTACAAGAAAGTGGTAATGTGACATGTACCGTTTACAGATGGTTATCAGAGTAAACATCTCTAGTAACTGCCACACATGGTTAGAAAAAAAGAAAGGAGAAAAAGGAAAGAATTTATTTGACTAGCATGTCAGAGGGTTGTGGTTCTTTTCCTAGTCACAACCCTTTCCCCTTGCTAACATCCTATTCCCTGAATAAGCTCTAATCTTACTTTTTAAGTAAACATTTTCTTGTTTTTCTTTACAGTTTTACTGCTTGAGTGTGCATCCATATGCACCATAGGCATCCATATAGTTTAGTGTTGTGTATCTGAGAATATTATATAAATGAAATATACTTTCTTTTCTGTCTTTTTTTTTTTTTTTTTTTTTCTATAGGGTGGGTACGTTAACCAAAAGAAA